TCTTTTGGACATCAGACCTATTGTCGTGGCTTGCGCTCGGTTCCGCACTTTGGACTGGTCCCTGTTGCCAGGTATACCCATACCCGTCGCAATACCATCCAGAACCATCGTCCCACCATGTCTGCGAAACTCCACATTGACCATCACAGCTCCCCGGCCATTGGTCATGCCACCAATAGTCATCATCGTCCCAACTCTCAGCAGTCCAGTCGGTCCAATCCTCTGAAACTTCATTCAACTTGCCTTTCTTTCCTTTTCCTTTGCTACCTTTAGAGCCTTTTCCTTTGGAACCTTTCTTGTCCCAAGTGTCAGTCCTTACAATTCCCTTACCTTCTCTGTTCTCAGGGCAATTGAAGCTGACGTGTCCGGTCTTACCGCATCTAAAGCACCGGATCCTGCTCACGTCTGCGGTACAAGCTGCTGCAGTTTTTTTTTTCCTCGAGTGTGGCCGATGTCGCGCTAAGGCTCGGTCCTTACATGAGCATAAAAAGCTTTTCGTTGCAATTGGTGGTTCTTTGGTGTCCGGTGGTTCCCTGTGTCTGGGCTTCGATGATGTATCAACATGATGCATCATCATACTGACTGGTCCATGACCCCTGTTTATTGCAGAGTGTATCAAGAGACCGCTCATAACTTGCATAACATGTGATCATGGACTCCCAGGTCGGTAACAAGCCCAGCTCAGCTCTGCAGCTTTTTGATGTCATTGGTTGGAGATAATACTTATTGGGGTGACAAACTCTTTGCTTGGCGCGCACCTAGTCTAGTAGTTATCAGAAATTGAGACATTAAGTACGGATTCTGTATCTGATTGTGAAAATAATAGCTAATTATCAACTTTCGTATGCACGTATAGACAATCCAAGACCCCGGAACCTGGCCTAAAATAAGTTCTGCACAGAAAATGAGGGGGCTACCTTAAGCTGTTCACAGCCAACGAAGTTTATGCCAATCATTGGTAATCAACATGTGGGCGGGCAAAGATGCTGCCCTGCAATCACTCAACTCCTTCCTCAAGGTTGCTTGCCCAAACCAAAACCAAAACAAGCGCGTTCTGTGTGGATTTTGGTCTCCCGAAGCAGACCAGTCACAGTGAAAAACCAACCCCAAGCCAGGCCCTAAGCCCTGACCCCTTCTTCAAAATCCCTTCTTTTTTTCCAGGTCTTATGCAGTTTTCTGCTACAGCAGGCGGAAAAAGTTTGCGACAGACTGACACGCCATCAGCCAGCTCGTCCCGGCACCTTGTCCTGCGCCCTCCAAGTCAAAAATTAAATGCTGTTCTAATGGTGTTTCGCATTTAAGTTATTGAAACAAATTCCAGCTCAGAGACAAGGTTTCAAATACTGCCCTACAACAGCAACTGTCGCCCAGGGCCCACCCTCTGCAAGCAAGCTCCAAAAATTTGGTTTGAAACAGCTTGGGGGTTGTTCAAGCTAGGCTAGGCTATTATTCACGCCGCCCTATTAAGTTGCTGGATTAGTCCACGTCTGCGGGCTCAACCTCACCATCACGCTCGCGGTGAAGCTCTTCTTCACCCTCCTCGCCACCATTTTCTTCTTCGCCTCAGTCTCGATTGCAGTTGACTCTATCTATGTTTCCCCACTTTGAATGCGACAAGCATTCCAAACTCCTTGTCCGAAAACGAAATCTGTGCCTGACACTCTGAGTATGACACCCCGGCCATCCTCAAATCCAGTTCCTCTTTCAACATGATCATCATCATCGCCTCAGCAATGAGTGATGTTCATGGAAGTTGCTTCTCGGCTCAGTCAGCCTTTGTGATATTGAGCATTCCTCCACTCAAAAATAACTAATGACTCAGAAACTCTTGTAGATGTTGACTTTGATCAGTTCTGAGACGCTTCATGTGTCCCGGACCGGCTTGGTCGGCGTCAGCAGAGGCGCCTCCTAGCACACATTGTGGACAAAAAATTTCAGAAGATTATGATAAAAAAGAAAAATTTAAGTCTTTTGGACCGATCCAATTCTTTTGAAAGCATCATCCGCGAACACGATAAATACAAAATTTTGCTCCTCGCCTTCAGCTTGACCAGCTTGCCCCTCGGCTTCAGGTTGCGCTGAGCCTGGCAGGTAACTGAAAGCATTAATCTTCCGAAATTTGATTTGCTGAATCAATGGCTAGCGTCTAGAGTTGCGGCAGGTATTGAAAGCCTCCATCATCGTCCTGTAAGGTCGCCAGGAGCGCATCCCTCATCTCCGCCTAAAAATCATCCACTATGACATGAAAGACATTCCACAATGATAATTAATTTAATGTCATCATGCTGACCTGGCACGGTTTCTGCAGGGGTTGAGGGTGTGACAACGAGTTGCTTCGCGTATGCATCAGAATGGCCGGTCATAATAGCAGAACGCCCGGTGTCCTGCAAGCACTGGGTGCTGGCATACTTATAGTCACAACGGCCAGGCTGTTGAGGCACCAACTGCGATCTCTTTGAGCTTTTCGCTTGGTAAGCGCACACTTCCTACCTTAAACTTGAACTCAAAAAATCTTTCCGATTGTGCAAAGAATATGAATAAGTATCGCACCGAAAAGATCTGCTTCTTCCCTCTCTTGCAGGCCCAAGAGTTCGACGTCCTGTAATAGAAAACCTCACTCACCACACCTCGCGGAAAACAGTGAGTATCAGCTCCATATTTACGAAAACAAACCTTGCAGTCAAAAGGGTAGGAGCAGAATGTGCTCGTGGGAACCGTGCGGAAAGGAAAAAAATAACCCGAGTAGTGAAATCCACTGAAAATCCAGCCTTGAGTATCTGGAGCTGATTCTTCGGTGGGCTCTTTTGCAGGTGGTCGCCCTCCAGGCAAAGAGGCTGCAGGTCGGCGCAAGGGAGCGGACTTGGGCGTGGACTTGGCTGCGGCCTTGGAGTTTGCCTTCGGGGCTGCTGCCTTGGGAGCAGCAGAACCAGGCACGGCATCCAAGCTGGAAGGCGCAGACTCCGATTCAGCCTTCTTTGTTTTTGCCTTGCCCTTGGCTGCAGAAGCTGCAGCCTTCGCCTTTGCATTAACTGCCTTGGGCTTTGCCTTTCCCACTGATTTTGCCTTGAGCTTGGTAGCTGGTTTGGCTGTAGCAGCCTTTGGAGCGGAATCTAAGTCTGCATCTGGCTCGGCTGGCTCGGCTGAGCAGTCGTCTTGGTCACCATGGCCATCCGCATGGCCGGCAGCTGCCAAGGTCTCGTCTAACACGGATGCTGGCCTCTTCAAAGCCGGCTTCCGTTTCGCCTGCGCCTCAACCGGAACCTCGGCCTTCACCAGAGGTGCCTGCGGTCAGGATGGACAATAATTTTTACTTCCAGCCATTGAAATGCTGATGGCAAAGTTAGCCCCAATATAAGAAGTGTAGCCAACCCCACCTCGTCACTTGAACTGTCGCTAACAGTTTCAACAGGCTTCAGCGAAAGGCTTGCCATTGCAAGACAAACTGTCCGACCTCCTGCTAGCCAAATCTGAACAAGGATGCTAAAAATTGGCACAGTGGCACTATGTCACTAGACGAACGATAACAGCGTGCTACTACCTCAGGGTATTATAATAATAGAGCAAGCTCACCGGCTGCTCAATTATTGATCTAAATCCAAAGCTGGCGCATTCAAGAGAACACCTTACTACGTTAGATAAATTGCATGTTTTCTGTCTACCTATAGGTGGATCGTTCCTTGGACCCGTCGAACTGCCAGCATGCTGCCCGCTGCGCACAGTCACTCTTCTCGAGCTTCGAGTTTCAAGAAAAAAAAGTGCAAACAATTGTAAAAAAGCAATTCAACTGAGGTTGAACTTGCTGAAGTGTAATTTTAAATTGTCCACCGTCCGCTCATCGAGTGGCTTCGAGCGTTAAGAAGCAGCAATCGCACCAAAAATCAAAAATCATAATTTGACCCATGTCTGGGCTGGCAAAGTCAGCTGCCCAAACAAACAAAAGCGAGGCTTGACAGGGGTAATCATGGGTACAGCAGCTCCAGTGTTGATCTCCACCTGGCAGCAACCAGTTGACAGCTTGCAGTTGGGTTGGCAAAGCATGCTCTGAGTCTGGCCTCCCACACGATGCCAGCGTGCTTTGTACGCGGGAGCTTGTCCATCTGCCCAACAAACACAGCGCCCAAAGAGCCAGCCCTGTCATGCACTGTCAGTCAAGGATGGCTTCTATTGATAGATTCAGATTTGTTCTGACCCCCGCCTCACTGTCTTACTTTCGCCTGCTTCGTCAGAAGACAACGCAGCAGGTTTGAACACGGTGCAAAGTCCGGACTTCAAAGCGGTCAGGTTGTACCGGTAAGGTACAGGTAAAGGATCCGTCTGGCACTGTGTGTCGTCTCCATCCGCCTCTAAGAGCAGGCAACATAATAGGAATCGAATGGGTCTGGAGCTTCACACTCCGAAAAATAATCGAAAATCACAATGAGAAAACGTTTCAAAAAACACAAAGCAATAACAGTCAGGCAATCATCACACAGTGGAGGCACTGCCGCGGGGGTTTCTGGATACGTTTTCTGCTTCATCACATGATTCATAAGCTCCACTTCAGCCACGCCCTTTGTTGCCGACAAGAAATGGAAATAGTCTGCCAAGCTCATGAAAACTTTTTCGTGGGAGACAATGTCCTTGTCACTCAGCAAGCGGAAGCACACGGCATTCCGCTCACCAGAACCGTCGCCTCTAACGGGTCGCAAGCCAATCAAACAGTATAATACCTAGATGCCGTTATATGCAACAAGGATTTGAAGGAAAAGTACTTTTCATCAGCTGGGCCTGCCACCACCTTCTCGCTGTAATCACCCTTGTGAAAGCCCATTATGTCACGAGTCACTGTGATTTCGTCATATCCTTCATTGCCAACCCAAAGTTCGAATGTGGAGGACACAACCAAAGTGGGCTTGTTCTTGGTCATGGCCGTCTGCGCCAACCTGCAATAATTAATACGTGCATCTTTGCAAAAAAAAAACCTTTCCCATTGTTTCATCAATGTGCGCCTGGTAACTCCGAAGGATGCTGCCGGGACATGTTCCAACCGGATAGGAGCATCGCACTGCACAGGCCTCGCGCCGTCCTCGATTGACCAATCAGGGCGACCAACAGCACGAGGGGCAGGTCCTCTCCCCGGACTAACAGCCGGCACAGTCCCTGGCTTGGCTGCAGGCGAGCTTTCAAGCTCCTCCTTCTTCACAACGGGCATGCTTGATCGAAAGAAGTCTGCCAGCTCATGTTTGATTTTCAGCATGTCTGATCGCTCCTGAGAATTGGCGGGGAACTTGTTTAGCAACTGGTCCGGGAAGTGGACCTCGCCATTGTTCCACGCCAAAGCCTGCAAGACTGGAGCTTCAAGCGCTTCACGCGGGCGCACTTTCGGAGGAGCTTCGGACGATTGGTCCCAGTGGTTGTAGAGCTGAGTTCCAAGCTGTGTCTTGACATCCTCTTGCTCTTCACGCAGCATGCCATAGTAGTGGACCTCTGGCTTCCGAAGTGCCAACAAACGTTCAAGGGCGGCACGGGCAAATTCGGCCTGCCTTAAAGGAGGAACGTTTGGTAGCAAAAAAGCAAAATCGGCATCTGAACTGAAAGCAAACTAAAAGACATGGGATCAAGTCAGCACAACAAAGAAATTACTTACATTTATCAGGGTACCGGTTTGGGCAAACATCCAGCAACACAACTTGATCAGCATCCTGAAATTCCATGTTCCCCAGGTAGCTGTCGAGAATGGCATGGTGAACGTGCAACCCCTTCCTCGGTCAGGGTTTGCTAAGAACACACCGCAAAAAAAAAAAAAACAGAAACTCATCCATCCAAAGTTTGCTTGGTGGCAGTGCACGTTGAATTCTGATTGCTGTTACAACAACTCATTACAACTCTTAAATTACCAAGTGTCTGCTCAGTACGGGCTCCAACAGATGGCGGTCCATGTTCACGATCAACACCGAGCATATTGGCGACTGCAATCAGTTTCGCGGGCCCAATCGTGCCAGTAGTAAACGCATTGGACTGGTGCCAGGGGTTCGCATGGTGTGCTGTGAACGTCACTACCATGGCTGGTTGAACTGTCTTTCGGTTGTCGTTGCTCCTGGCTTCAGACTTGTCGTACAACTGCGTGACAGAGTTGAGAACGTCCAAGGACGCACTACCCAAAGCATCTTCGATTTTGCGCCTGTTCTTCAAGACAGCCGCAGGAGAGGTGTTGCTTTGCACAACAGGGAGCTGAATGTGTGCGCAAGTCTCCGCTGACATGGTCAGACAAGCTTTCACAATCTCAAGACATGCGGCCGTGTATGTCGCGTCAGCTGGAAACAAGGTGAAATCTACCAGAGCCAGAGTCAGCCTCAGGGGTAAGGCTCAAACAGTCTCGGAGGTTGACCCCAAGGTAGAAACCATAATATATATATATATATATATGAGTGTGTGTCTGTATCTGTATGTATATATGTATAAAAATATTACTGTATACAAATTAAACACATGTATATATTCAAAGCTTGAAACCCTACGTTGACTGAAACCGGAAAGAAGAATCGCATGCCCAAAAAAACATGCGTTAATCTAAAACAGTAGCTGGTGGCCAATCAAACGCAGATGAGCAACACTCTTCCGTTTGCTGCCTTCCCGCTGCAGAACTTGGAGAAATCAGTCAAAGCCCCGCTCAATGCTGCATCCACCAGCTGCAATTTGAACTTTTCATCCATGGTCTTCTGGCACCACTCTTGGCCGGTCCTCAGAATCTGATTATCAAAATCCGAGCCCATCAGGCCCTGGATGATAATTTGGCACAGACCTCTGAACCTGATTGATGCGTTAAAACGTTTTGTGCCTGTCAAATAATATCCAAGAGTCCGTTGACGGTCTTTCAAATATTTGGCATCCAGCAGAGATTCGGCCGCCTCAGTCTCCTTCGTGGGCGCACGGCCTTTCAAGGCCAAGAAATCTGCCTGCACCTTGACAAGCAACTGATCACATGTTGCCCGCTGGAATTTCTCAGCCAATTCACGCTGCTCTTCCTCCACTTCACGCTGCTGACGCTCGTCCACAGCGAGGACAATAGGCCTCAAAGAGGACCCAAGAGGCAGAGAAAACAAGCAAATCAACAGATAATAAATGCTTGGCATAGCTTGCACAGTTGCACACACAGAATTGGTAGCTCCAGCAAAAGATTTTTTTGAATAGTATATATATTATGGTTCCCATTTCTACAAATAATTATGTCTTCGTTATTATTCCAACCGAACTTTCCACGCAGAAAGCGTCCGTCAAGGTGAGGAATCAAAGCAAAACTGGGCTCCGAATCCCATATATGCCCTGACAATGTTCAAAAAAAAACTTGCCCCTACCGCTACCATAAGCCCGCCACTCCAAAAATGAACCCAAGATGGCATGATTTATGTGTCATGCCCTGGCCTGGCCTGATGAACTGAACTTGATGCAAGTTGACAGGCGGGGCTGCAGTCTCCAAGAGAGTTTGAAGCTGGGAATCAAGGAAGCCTGAATGGAATTGTTCCTTCACGCGCTCAAAATTCTCCTCAAAATCCCGCTCTGGGATGCTCTTCTGGAGGGTCTCCATCACAGACAAAAAAAAACTCCGCAAACAGCGTGGAGAGCCTGAGCCTCTTTGTAGTTCCAGCACTTCTTTGTCAGGGCTCGATCCCAATCAGTTTCCAAGCGCTGTAGGCACAAGCGTACCTAAGTTTCATTAGCAACAACCCAATTTTACCCCAACTACACATTAGAAACCCCAAGACTGTAACCATATGCCATGAAGGTGCTAGGGCGTGATCTCTGGGTGGGTTTATGCATTCAGATTTCCAGGCATCCCATGCACCGGTGGCCGAAGTGTAGCCAACATTGAACAACTCCTTGGCGATCACTTCGTGAGACAACCATGTCTTCATTCCCCGTGGCTTGACCGCGGCCCAAAGCTCTTTCAGCACCGCGCTATCCACGTGCTGGCGCAAGTTGGTCACCGATTGAGCTTCCAGCTTGCCAAGCTGAAACCAACGCATGACTTTGCGATCATCATCCCAGTCCTAAAAGCAACAAGCTGTGAATATGTAGCGGTAAAATATATCTAAGATTTGTTCAATCAATACAGATTGGAGCTGAGTCTCTGTGAAAGTGGCTACTGACTCATCGCCTGCCTTCTCAAGCACCTGGAGCTGCCTCAGGAAATTGAAACAGTTTGCTGGCCTCCTCGTCGCAGTTGACGCAGCTGTCACAGAGCGATGAGTGCTCACCACATCTCGGATGGTGCCGTACTGGCCCACAACTCCGTATACCACTGACAAAGATTCCTCCATGGGAGTTCACAATGAAACGTGCTGTGTTTGAAGTCACAGTCACGGCCACAACTGTTGCCAAGAAAAGTGTCTCCAGTAACAAGGAATACAGTTCGAACGATGCATGTCAATGTCAAGCACAAGGGGAGACAAGCCTTGAACTGGTCCGTCAATCTGTCAAAAGGAATCTGCAATTTCCGACTCCCCTCCAAGGCAATGAGACATGAAAGAGACCGCCGCCATCCCTTCACAAAGGCGACGCTGAACGGTCGGAGAAGATCGCCTCAGACCCAATGGCAATGGCTATAACTTTCGATATATTTAAACGCTGAACGGTCTACAAGATCACTCCGTGTTTCTTAATTGGTTGAGAAGCTGTCCCGATGCAATGGTGGAAGCGGCGTATAAGGCTTGGTCAGGAAAGAAGTGTCATGCTGGAAAACCGCCAATTTCTCCACACCGGGCATCACCTCCGCATTCGTCTTAAACCTGCTGGATCCAAACATTGACTGAAAGAAGATTCGGGCAATGAACCAGAAAGCAATCAACAAAATCAGTGGAAAAATTGCTGAAAATATATATCGCGACAAATGACCCGGACATCAAAATCATCTCAACCAGAGTGAGAAGAGAATCGGGGCAAATCATTGACGGGAGGCCGAAGTCAGCCCTAAAGCTCAGCTGCCACACCCTCAAATATTGAGGCCCGGGATTCAAATTGGTTGCATAAGTTGTCCTGATGCTGAAAATGCATCGAAGTCTACCACAAAAAAAAATCAAAGCTGCAAGGGTTCAAAGTCTATCACATCTAAAACGAAAGGTGATTTTCCCATAACGAGTGAAAGTCCTGGGATCCATTTCGAAGTTCTCATCGAGCCATCGCGCAAAGTCGAGCAGAGAGGCCTCAACAAATGGCTACAAAAGAATCAAAAACGAATCACCTGTTAGAAAAGGTAAAGATTGAGCCAGCCTCGTCTGGATATGCTCTCTCCAGCCACCGGTCTGGCCCGCCCCGTGGAATCACAGACTCTTTCAACCTTGGAGGGTGAAAGAAAGCCAAAAGCAACAGCAATCTGAGAGGGCACTGGACAGATATGATATACATGCTGTATGTATATATATATATATATATCTCTTTACTATCTATTAGTGTCTGGCGTATGAATATCAAATAAGGAACCATTGCAAGATTCTGGTGACATGCTCTGGCGCTGCTGAAGCGTCACCTTTCGAGATCTTGGCGAATTGGGTGATATCAGACTGGCCCGAAGACAAGGACTTTCGCTTCCTCTGCGTTTTCTCTGGCATGGCAAGACTTCCACACCACACAGGAAAATCACTTCTCACTCAGACTCTGAGCCAGTCATGACGCAAAGCGGCAACAACGATCAATTTAAATTACCCATGGTATTTACTTACTGGCCATGTCACTGTTTCTACTCACGACATGTGATGTCATCATAACATCTCAATGAATGTTGTGTCCCTCACGCTGCAGAGCACCAGGGTTCGATGCCCTGCACAGCACACTGACTACGTCAGTGCCCTGTGGTTTACCCACACTGGATGGAGACTCCAATGTTGTTGGGATGGAGGCACGTATACACAGGCTCATTTGCAGGTCCTAGCAGCCGGCCCCTAAATCCCATTTGTCAATGTGAATGCAGAACCCTTTCCAGAACCTGACGTTGGAACTTCTGGAACCTTCCGGAACTTGACCCACCTGCACCGGAACCTCCCAGAACTTGACCTGCAAGGGAACTGCACCAGAACCTGATCTGGCAAAATAAAAATTGAAATCAGAACCCTCTCCGGAACCTGACGTTGGAACTTCTGGAACCTTCCGGAACTTGACCCACATGCACCGGAACCTTCCAGAACCTGACCTGCATGGGACCTGCACCGCAACCTGATCTGGGAAAGTAAAAATTGAAATCAGAACCTCAGAGCGTTGGAACTTCTGGAACCTTCCGGAACTTGACCCACATGCACCGGAACCTTCCAGAACCTAACCTGCATGGGAACTGCACCAGAACCTGATCTGGGAAAAAAAACTTGAAATCAGAACCTCAGAACCCTTTCCGGAACCTGGCGTTGGAACTTCTGGAACCTTCCGGAACTTGACCCATCCCTGATCTGGGAAAATAAAAATTGAAATCAGCACCTCAGAACCCTTTCCGGAACCTGGCGCTGGAACTTCTGGAACCTTCCGGAACTTGACCGACACCGGAACCTTCCAGAACCTAACCTGCATGGGAACTGCACCAGAACCTGATCTGGTAAAGAACCCTTTCCGCAAGCTGACGTTAGAACTTCCGGAACCTTCCGGAACTTGACCCTGGCACCTGCTGACCAGACTAGCCAGAGCCCAGAGCCTTCCAGAACCTGAAACCACACCGGAACCATGGAACCTGAACCAAACCTTTCCGGAATCCGACTACTGACTGAGTCTGACTGGCAGACGGGTGATCTTGTCAGGCTACTTGCGAGTAATCAAACGCATCACTTGCAGTCCGGAAGCACATGTTTCCTTTTTCGATCCTCGATCGTTGGTTCGTGGTTCTGTTGCATGAAAATTGAAGCCAGGAGTGGAATCTAGCAATCGTAAATCTCTTCAAATGAGTTCTCTTCCGTAAAGTCAAGCATTTTATACCTCGGCTACTAGGCTGGCAGATTGCCACAACTCGATTGATAAAAAACAATCACCTTAGAAGAAGCGTCGCATGTTTTGCAACTAAGCCACCCCTCATGAGCTGGGTTGCGCTTGACCAAAGTGCGCCACATTTCTCTGGACATGTCTGAACCACAGCAACTTCATCAGCAAAATCATGACATTGGGGTCTGTCCGCCCAGCCAACATCTGCATCAGGCAACAGAATCATCGACTTGCCTTTGGCATGAAAGTGTTCGGCCACACAATTGACCGGATGCTTCAATTTGCGTCCGAACAGCGAAGGCATGTCA